TATCACATTATAGAATACAAGATAATATTAAGAAAAAAAAAATAAATAGTTTAATCATCTTTAGTTGAGGCTTGAGCATATCTCCTTGCTTTTAGTGTACCATTATAAGAATATGTGAAAGGGGATGGATAGATTTAAATATTGTCAGATTTAAGAGGTAGAGTCCTCTTAGATCTATTTACTTAAACTCCTGATTATGAGATTAATAAACCATAAAAGCAGACACACGACTATTTTATATGGTCAAGTATTTTTCTTTCGTTTGAGTTAATAATATAAAAATAATATAGGTAAATAAATAGAATAAAAACAGTAATTTATTGAAGTTGTGCAAGAAAAAACATTCGTCAAGTTTATGTTACATCGCGAGTAAAAGTATCTTGCCGAGTCCAATATTTAACATGCCTATAAGTTGAAAGTTAAAGCATATTAAACGCAAACCCTCGTATAGTCAGTAAGGTGGACTTTTCATCATCCCGTGTTTTCTAGTTGGCTGAAAGAACGCGGCCAAACGTTACACGCTGCCGTACACGTGCTCCGGGACATGCGTCGTCGATTGTTTGTTTCACGCAGTGATTAGATCATTGCTGGTGCTGCAGCTGCTGCCTTTTATAGGTCGTGTCCAATTGCTCACGAGAAATTGATAATAATTAATAACTCGGCTTATATTCACCAGCTTCAGAACTTCATTGTTATTATTGAAAGAGTAATTTGGAAGCGCGTTTAGGGGGTTAATTTTTTCGTTCTAAACTATACTTAAGTCTACTACTCTTAAGTCCTAACGATATTTTCAAAGAAATTATATTCAAATTATTCAATGTATTACCCTCAAAATATAAGAAAATTGAGCAATGGTTTTTTTTCAATATTTTTCGTCTAATATTTTATTGTTGAATATTATATGCTAATAAATGCGTTTAATTATACTTAAATGAAAATGAAAATTATTTTTGAGAACACTTTGATGTTCTATGACATTTATAGGTATTGATCATATTTTACTAAATATTTCGTATAATATTTTGATCGTAATAATTGAATAAGAAAATAATTTGGCATCAAAGAGTAGGTAATAATTAATTTTAATTTATTCTAATATTAAATTTAAGAAAATGAAACAATAAGTGAGTTTTATTAATTATTTTAATTCATTATAAACTATAATTATTTAACAATTTTTACCAGGACAACAGTCATTTTTGAAATGAGTTTTATTTTTAGGAAATTAATATGTATTCAAATGGATTAGAGTATATTAATTTCCTTGCTTTAATGATTAATATTATGATCAATGTAGTTATACATTGCGAACAGTAGATAACATGTTAGATAACACCTATATTATCAAATCTTTTATTTCATATTCATAACATCATTATTATATTTTAGCATACTGTATATTATATTTACATTTAATTGTGATTATAGCGCCCTACTTCGTCTTCTCATCACGTTTTGATTTGAAAAATCTAAAACGTTAACTATAAGCAAATATCTAATAATTTAGGGATGATTTTAGAACATTGGATTTTTGATAATATAACGAGATATTTTTTTTGATACTCAAAAAATAATATCATCTTTAACTGCATAATTATAAATAAAAATATTATTTCGTATAATGCGGATCATATTAATATAATAATTAAACATTGTTTAATATTTTAAATATTTTCAGATTTTCTTTAGCATTTTTTCTGATCCTATTTACTTGGATTGTTTTAATTAGCATCCATACTACATATTAGTTTCAAATTTCAAATTTCTTATTTAAAACAATGACGTTAAAATATCCAATAATCGATAGAGATCACGGTTTGTAATAATATTACTATGCAATTTTATATTTTATTTTAATAATGTGATATATTAACTATAAACTATTATATTATTATTTCATTATTTGTTAGCAATATGTTTAACCATTTGGTATTGAATTGCATAATATTACATTAGTTTTGAATTCTCTTCTTTCCATTATTTAATTGTATCCATCTTCATGTTTAAAATACAATATAAAATCAATAGCTATGAATAGTTGTATAAAATTTACTTTTTATCCATACAATTTCAATGTATTACTTTGGTTTGGTTAAAAGAAACTTTTTCCTATACGACATAAATATAAAGGCACTTTTGAATAATATAATCTGATTTATTTTTTTAAGCTTAAAAACATATTATTTTCAATTCGTGTTTATTAATTTTATTTCTAGAAGTATTTTAAATAGTAAAAATAAATAGATTATTTTTACTTACTTTTCGAAGAAAGTTTAAACAGAAACAGCAAAAATAATTGTTATCGAACAATGATGATTGCACACTAATATGAATTCAGGAAAATATAGTAAGTTTTGACATTGATAACCCAGTAGTCTAAAGAAATAAATTAACATAGTAAAAATGTTTGCTTACGATTTTGCAACACACTGCATAATACAGTGTATTAGTTTTTTCTTTTAGTTAGTGTTAGTTATTTTTCTTTATATAGGTTATTTATTATTTATTATAAGTCCTCTTTACTTAAAAAATCATAAGTATTAGCTTTTATGTATAATTTATTTTAATAGCTATCTATTACGCCAATTTATATGTTGAGTTGTTTCTTCCTTCTTTCTATTTTTTCCTTTAATAATAACTTATTGTTATTACGATAATTTTTGTAATTCTTAAAAATATTTACTAAGGGCTATATTTTCTTAGGCATAGATTTTTTTTATGCTATTTAATTTTTCTAAAAATAGTATAAATTATATATTTTTTCCAACGAGAAATAATTTTTTTATAGTGAATTATTAAGCACGTGGTTTTTTGAAAATTTTGATTTAGATGTGTTAATGATTACAAAATAACCCTGTGATTTACAAATAACAATATAATTTAAGAATAACAGTTTTTGTTTGAAAAAATGAAGCTACGTATAAATATTTCTTATAAAGTATACAAACCTAAGTATTTAAAACTTCCAACAACTCGCTTCATAATAATCTCAACATTGAAACCATTAACACAGTTACATTCGGAACTTTATTTAATTTAATTAAATATTATGTAACCAGAAAAGATTTATGTTCTTCAAGTTTTTTGGCTATGAAGTTTATATTGTAGAATATATAATATTATATCAATGATATTTTAAGATTATTAGAACTTTTAGCTTATAGCGATAGAAATTATAATAGCTGTTTTAAAATAATTAAGAATAATTAGATTTGATAAAATATTAAGATGTTTTTGAGTATAGTATATTTATTAATTTGATATCCACTTTATATATATATATATTATAAAAAAAACATTAACAGTTATCGGGACATTTTAATATTTGATTTTATCAAGTTTAATTAAATACAACATAAGCGTTTTTCAATAATTATACTAAAAAGATATCAATAAAAGCTAAACATGCGCTTTATTCAACGAAATATTGATTGAAATTGAAAAATACTTCAAAGTTTAAAAGTGAACATTTTTTTATTATTTTACTATGTCTTGTATGGCTGACAACATAGTTTTAAAAATAATTTTTAAAGGATGTATTAATGAATAAAATATTATAAATACTAAAATCCATCTTTATTATTAAATTATTTAGTTGACGAGGTATTATTAATTAAAATTTTTCAAATTCGTTTGGAATAAATGAAATTTGATTATTTTTACTATTACGATTTTTAGGTATTTATGATTTTGATTATAAATAGTATTTATCAAATAAAAACAAAAACCATTAATTCGTTTATGTGTAATTTTTCATAAAGAGTATGATTTTTTATTTTTTTTTTACAATTTCAGAAAATCTCTTTTCCAACGAATTGTCTTTGAATGCATTTAATTCAAGATACATTTCTAAAATAAATCTATCATAATATATTAATGATGTGAAAAATTTACTTTATGAAATTAATTTATATGGTGAAAATTACATATTTTTATAATAATATGGATATTATTACCTAGTTATACTAAAATAAGTTGAGATTTTATTATGTAAATGTACTTAGAATATGATTAAGACATTAGATATAGTTGAATAAAATATAATTAATCAATAATTAGAATAGTTGTAGTATACTTCGTATATATAGTTGTGATAATTATTATAATTATTTTATACACGAATATAACAGCTGAATAGCACATCATAATAATCGAAAAGTAAGTTGAATATTTGCTACATATATGATCATAACATATATTATAATATTATATGTGATTTAAAAATTTAACCATATAATTTGATTTTTTTTATATCTTTAGGTTTAAAATACCTATACTGTAGAATAATACTATGTATTTTAAAGCACTAGTAAACTATGTATACTCGTATAACTTATCTTTTGTTATGAATTCTAAGATCAGTAGTCTACTTTAGTTTAAGCAGCCTATTGATATAGAGTGAAGTCTTGTACTCAAAGTCGAACTAATGTCTAATCAATCATCATCTTATATTACTTTTCATTCTTACATTATGTAAACATCGAGTATTTACGCTTTATACATAATATTTTTCTTTATTTTATCAATTCGCGGAACATTGTACATGTTTCAGATTTTTGTATGAATTGACGAAATTAAACTATAAATAGTATGCTTAAATTATATTATCTTAACTGATACAATAGATAGTTTTTATATTGAAATAACATTATATTACCAACATAATAGTTAATAAAATATATTGAAAAATAAGTTGCATTTTGTTTAGAACAAATTGTCACTGTAAGGTGTGCTGTAATTTTTTTTTGTAAAATATTATTATTTTGCAGTGCTTAATTAGAAATAGTATTTATTGTATTTTTAACAATACTAATAGGCGAGATTTGATGTAAAATAAATCTAACAAATATAATAATGCTCATAATAAGTTTATTGCATACATTAATGAACAATATTTATCGTATTTTTATAGTTAACCAATTATTTATTAAAATTTTTATTTTAATAACGAATAAAAGTATTTAGTATTAACATTTTAATTATATATAGTTATATACGTATTTTATGTAGAATGAGCAATACATATGCATCATATTTTTTATGTCATTCATTATTGATTCACAAAAAATAAATATAATTTGAATATAATATAATATTATTATAGGTTTATGATAAAAATACTCCAGAACACAAAAATAAAGAAGCCCAATCACTGGGAAATGTCAAGGATGACTGTGATTGGCGACATCTTTTAAAGCTTATTATATATACCTATTAAAATACGTCATACTAATACTTGTATTTATTGATATTCTTATAATTAATTGTATTGTATATTATATATACATACAATACACATACAAAGAGAAACAATCGGATTTAGTTTTTTTTTTTTTACAAAATATCACATGTGTGGTAAATTTTCCAAAGACGTTTAAAAAGATCATCATCAATCGTCACTTAAAAAAAAAATGCGACTCAATCGAAAGAGGTGACGATATTAATAAATAATAAAAATATTTAAATTATTGTCAAAAACAATAATTTTTTATAAAAAAATACTTAACAATGATTGTTTTTTTTAAGTTTAAAATTCTGTAATAAATCATAGAAAAAAAGGAAGAAATCAATTGTCGTCAGAGTATAGACCCAATTCGATGCCGAGCCGTTTTGGCTGCCTAACTTTTGAAGGGAACGGAGCAAATGGTTTCGGTGCTGACGTAGTAGAATTTTCAAAGTTATCTTGGTTTTCTTTGGGTTGTTGTGGTGAATGTGCTCGATCAACGCATTCGGCTGTAGACAATGACTCGTCCACAAAAGTCTCTTGAAAATTATTGGTAGTGGAAGTCTCAGTTGTAGACAGCAATTCGTCCGTTAGCAAATCTCGGAAGTCATTAGTGGAACTCTTAACGGCAGTTATAGATTCGTTCGCAGTTGAAGTTTCTACAGTGGTTAAGGATTCGCCAAGCATATCGATGTTGTTTATCAAGTCCGGTAACCGTTCTTCTAAGTCTAATTCTAAATCTTCTGTTGCTGCTTTTCCTCTGCACATCCGTCTTAATACTTCTGAATTAGCTCTCAACATTTCAGCTAGACTCACATCACTGACATCGTCGTCGCCGCTTTTAACATCAGGTATACGACATTCTACAACGTCGACGGCCAGTTCAGCGTTTCCATCCCCGTTTTCGTTGTGGCTGTTGCATCCATCGTCATCGACCGACCGTTCGCTGCAGCAATCGGACGCGGGATCATCGCAGAGTTCGGTGGACGTTGATGAAGATGACGATGACGATACAGTCCGTTTCTCTCGGACTCGTGGTTCTGTAACGTAAAAAAAAAAAATACGTTTAATTATGCAGACAATACCGTTAAGTACCTAGTAAATCAACGATATTTTTAATTTTTTATATGCGCTTAATAACAAACTATACTACGATCGATTCAATCTATATATTTGTTTAAGGTACTTTTCAGTTTATCGTGTGGTTCATAATTTGATGTATTGTTTTACTTGATCTCATTATTTTGGTAGATATATTTAGAATTTTAATTATAACAAAGCCTACACTGGCTTATCTTTAATATAATGGTTACACTACCTTTCATATTTTGAATATTTTATTATTAGTATTATTGATTATTATTTAATCACTATAATCACATAACAACATTTTTAATATTTTTTTTTTTTGTAATTTATTTTAATATGGTATATCAAAAAAATAACAATAAGATTAGGAGAATTAAAATATCGGAATCCTAACACGACGTATTAAATAATTGACTACAGATAATAGCACAAAGGTCATTATCCCGTTGTGCGTAAAAACCGGAAGCTGTTCGTTATGTGTAGTATAATATTCATGCAGTATATTGTTTAATATGTAATATTATAATGTACCTGTTATGGGTTCTGGTTTTTTGACATCTTGTATGTATTTTAGTGGTATAGATCCGGGTATGGGCCCGATCGATGTGCATCTCAGAGCCGTTTTACCGAACAGCAAATGATTCATCGCTGAAGAGTTGGAGGTCCCGATAAAGTTTTGTCCATTGCACGCAGCTGTAAGAATAGTGTTTTGTTATGTGTAGTTATTCCAGTGGATAATACCGTATCGGCTCCAGGTCGTTATTCCTTGCCATCCGTTGAATGGCCGTATTGCGTCCGGTTTTTTAATTTTTTACTTTTTAATTTTATATTATTTTTAAAACTCCAAAAAAAATTTAAGTCAACACAATTTTTAACCATGCCCACAAAGAATTTCTTCTCACCATAGCCAGTCCTCAGCCTGTAAATGGGAAGAAAAATGTTGTTGATCGGGAGCCGATACGGCCATCTTCAAATGAAAGGAGGGAGTGGAAACGGACAAACGGGAGCCGATGCGGATACTTCCATTCCAGTAAGCATCGAGATTAATTGCGTTTTAAAATGTATTTGTTAGGTATTTATAGACAACAATTTTGTATTCAAACAGATATTAAGCGCAATTATTTAATATTATGTATTTTACCCGTTAAAATAACTTGGACCTGTTTTTGCCTTTCTTTGAGCTTGCTATATTGTTTTTTTAACGACGATATGTCTAACGCAACTTTTTCCCTTTCGGATTCTAAACTAGGAGTCGGCTGTCTATTGCTTCTGCAGGATTTGTCGTCTATATGTATACAAAACAGGTGCTTATTAAAATATTGTACGTATAAATTTATGATATTGTCGAGAGAGTCCAACTACACTATTATCTCACGTTTGGTTTTGAATTCGTTTTTTCGATCGTTGTTCGCAGTGACCGTCGACGATTTACCATCGACATCTTCATCACTGTCTGTCTCCTCAACGTCGGACTCGGTGTAAAACAATCGCAGTCCTCGTTTCGCAACATGACTGACCCATGGATTTATATTGTACATGTATCTTTCTCGGAGTTCTTTGACTTCGACTAGTTCGTTCATTGTACTGATTGTCTGCGAGTAACATAAATTTATTTATTTTTTATAGTTCATAAGATCATAATAATATATACCACGTGTGTTAAAAATATTATAGTGGTAGACGTTATTGTTATACTAACTTAAACGGGCTGAGGTATGTAAATTTGTCGACGAAAATACTCACGTTGATTAAATTGTTAGCGTCCATTAAACCGAACTCAAGCATTTCTCTGGTGAGGACAGCCATAATACTATAAAATTCGTCTGCACTTGTCACTGTCATTATCCGACTAAATGGAATAATTTTATTTGACATCAGTTCAAAAGAAAAAAAACTTTTTATAAAACTATATTCAAACATTTCAAACTCTCTTTTTCGCGACAATATTATAATTATATTATTATGCAATAACCCAAAAGATATCTAAGCAATTATATTATATGGATACCAACATTTAAAATAACATTTTTAATTAAGTTTAAATGGATCTATATTAAGACGTAACGTACTGTAAGTATTAACGTTGAAATTGTGAAAATAACCATAGTTAGAGGACATGTACAATTGGTGAACTTTACTTATGATACGAGTTGAAATTAGTTTAATTAGTTTTTGTTCAATTCTATGAAGTGTTTTTAGCTTTTAATTCTCACAGAAAAATTGGCTCAAACTAAATTTTAACTAGCTTGTCTGTTTTAATATTTTGCAGTTTTATACGTTAAAGTATATACTTTACGCCAAGGATATTTCAAATGTTTATATTATGATGTGCATTTATTATTATTTATTATGTAAATAAAAATAATAATTTTTAATTTTATCTTTCGTAAAAAGTACCACAAAAATAAAGTTACTGTAATAACTTATGATAATAGGGTGACAACATTTCAAATTATATTTTTTATAAAAATAAGTATTTTATATTTTTTTTTATTAGAATTTAACTATAAAATGCAATGAAAAATGCTTCCCAGCAAAAAATATAATGTACAAGGATTTAAATATTTTGTTAAATTATATAAAAAACAAAATATTTCGATACATACACGCCGTGTTTATAACAGAATCTTTTTTTTTTTTTAAATGTATTCGTGTCATTTGAGAAGTTTGATACATAAAAATTAGTATTTAAGTTGATAATTGACTACACACTATCGTCATAGTTTAAATTATGTAACTTTTATATGGTTGTCGTACATGAGCCAAAGATGCTTGTTGTATAATAATAATATTTCTATGTATTTTATATCAAAAGTCTGCGTAAACACATTAAATTGTAATTATCTGTCAAAAACTTTACAACAATATATAGCCACAGTGTCGAAAGAGTGTTGGTTTGAATAAAATATTATATACTTACTCGGATAAAGCATCCCAGATAGCTAGGGCGGTTTTCAAAAGCACTGTGCTTCCTTCAAGGAATATTAAATCCCAGACTCGAAGCACCGTACGCTGGGGAAGACAATTACAAAACAGTGTAAGAAACCACTGCATTGTGAATACGTTTGTTAGGGGTGGTTCATAGCTGGTTCCTATTGAACAGTGTAGGTATATATTGTGTATTATTCGTATGTAGATGAAAATATAATATGGTAAAAACGATTTATCTTACCGGAGTCTTTTGATTCAGTCTGTAATCGATCTAAATGTCTCGATAGGTTTTGCAGTCTGACTCTTAGCAAGTCTCTGAACACAGCCATATCTACAGACAGTCCCCTGAGATTATTGGCAAAGTAACCTTCGGGAAGTACACCTTCGATTAAGTATATCATTACCTAAACGAAAAAAAAGATAAACCAACAGTGTATTGACGACTTAATCAGATTAATTAAACGACTAAATTGGTCGGCGAAATCTTGGTACTCGAAACAGCCAATCGAAACACATGTCAAGCAGAATTGCTGTCACGCTGAAGGACTTCGAGTCGCTAAGATTTCGTCGACACAATGCGACAAACCAACCTTTAAGGCGTCAGATTCATTTTTTTCCATCACTTGCAGTATGAGCGCCGCCAACATGTTGAACCCTTGACAGTATCCTACTGCCTTGTTCCACCGAGCGAACCCCAAGAGTACTCGTTTCAGCAGCGCTTGGTTTTCCAGTCCAGATGAACCACAAAATAAGCTGCAACCGGTTCGGTGCAGGTCCTTTACGATTTGTACGCCCAGCTCTTCGTCATCCGGGTTGGTCGTGTCGTTGAAGCAAAACCGTTCCACCTTGGGCCACTCTACGTTCCTGGACGACAAGTATTTTTCCGCCAGGGTCAACCATAACTGTGCAACGCAAAACGGACCGCGTGTCCGCGTGCGATAATATTATAGATCGGTACGAACCAATATTATTTTTTTATTTATTTCGTATTGTACCATACGTGACACGCGATAATACATCATTTTATTGAGACGAGCCAATGCGTGGGCGAGTCAAGTGGTTACGGGTAGTGGTCAGTGGTAAACGTGATCGAATGGGTACGAAAGCTATAGATAATCATAATTTATAAATAAATAGATACGTACCGTGTTTCGGAATTCATGCGGAACGCCGTCTGGAAGTCTCGCGACCATTTTCATAGCGCTCTGCCACTGTTCAAAGTCACTATCACCGGGTCCAGGCTTCATGTTGAATCTCATTTTGGTGTCTTCACCTATAGACGCAATTTTCCAACCATATTAATCATTGCAGAGAGTACGTTGTTATACTATGTATATTATATAAACCATATTCCATAATAATAATATTATATACTCTATTCAATGGCATTGAAGTAATATTTTATTCACTTTGTGCAATTGACATATATTTTAAGAAGGCGGTCAGTGATTATCGTGCTTAAGTTGTGTGAAAAAAGAACCATTAAGTTTTTTAGAAAAAAAGAAGCAAGAATACACTTATTTTTTGATGAGATTTGTATATTTGGTATTTTATTTTACCTTAAATATATTTTTATACTCCCATGCCACATTTTCATACTCCCATTTTATATATATTAATATATATAAAATGTAATCATAAAATTTTAAAATATATTAACAACAATCAATGTTAATTAATCGTATATTTAATATTGTTGAAAACGCGATGTAATTATTTAAAAGTATTGATTTAATCTTCATTAAATAAAAAACAATATCTAATCTGTTTGTGCATAGAAGAAATGATATAATACTAAGAATTGGGTTACTTACTACTGTGTTTATCAAAAAATTGGATCATAGAATAAAAATTTGAAAATTCAATAAGTTCCAAGCCTTAATATAGTTATGACCTATTGTTATTAGTATTGTATCAAATTAAACGTTCTTGTCGATGTATATATTAAATTGTATAATTGTGTATGCTGAAAACTACTGATAAATACATTTAAATTTTAACATAATAAATTATTATAATTAACAATCGAGGAAAAATAAACCTTAGTTTTAGCAATAATCGACATTTTTGTCATTAAGGTTATTGAGTGGAGTATGCAGGGGTAGCCTGTTTTTCCCTATTATATTATTATCAATTTTTTTTTCTAGATAAAATTTTCGGTATATTTTATTGAATATAAAAAAAAATGTTGTGAATGGCCTTTCCTGTTATATTTAAGAAATATATATTTATTTTACTACTTCATTATCAGGTTTCTAGAATTCTTAGTTTAAATTTTTATTAAAAGAAAACTCATTATTTAATAAAATATTATACATGGTGATTATTTTAATATTATAAACCATTAAATATTGCTGTATTTTACTCTTGATTTATTAAATACATCAATATTTGTTTCATTTTTTTAATATTTTAATACTTATGTATTATATTGAATCAGATCATATAATATAGGGTATGAAACTCATAGTAATTTATGTTATGTTTTACATACCTATGTAAAATATTTGAAAATGAGAGAAAATTTTTTAAATACTAGTATATGAGTTAATGTTTAGTTTTAAGCTGATTTATATCGTAATACAGTATTAAACTATGATATTTCGTTATTTTTGGGTAACTTAAATTAATTTAATCTTAATTAAATAAATCGAGTTTTTAAATTATCAAGGGTATTCTACAAGTGTATTTAAAGTTGATTATAAAAATAACTTCTTATTAGTTGAACAAAAGGTAATACTAAGGCACAAAAAAAAAAAACAATCAAATTATTTTGAAGAAACTAGAAATATCATACACATGACTGAAAGTTATTTGTAAGAAGAAAATTAACGAGAGTATTTTTACGATATTACTATTTTTAAATTGTACATAAAAACTTATGTTTATTATATTGATTTCGATTAGAACGAACCATCTTCGAACCGTTAATTGGATGAATAAAAATGTTTTTATTTTTCAAGAAAATCTATTCATAATTTCTACCGTAAAACATAGCCCAGAAGTAGAAATAATATTTCATTTTTATAATTTGTACAGTATAATTTATTTTTTAGGAATAGGTGTTTTTTAAGCTTATTATGTTTTTATGATTGGTATACATTTTTGAATATTTCAAATTTTCTTCACCATTTTAAACAATTATTAATATTAAATTTAAAGTTATGACTAATATATCACAAAATTAATAAGCATATCTAACATAAATGAGAAAATCCTCGACTATAATGCAGAGTATAACATAATATTGGATGTTTAAAGTTTATATTTATTTTTAGATCTATGACACGTCTCTCTTTGTCGTCTCCGGTGAACTGTTTGATCATCGAAGTGTCATTTTTGTTTACGGTTTTATTTCGAACAAACAAGTTTTTGACGTTGACTTTCAATGATTTGATTTGAAAATTATTCTTAAGAACATTTGACGTTAGTAAACAATTTATTTTTCTTTCATTGAAATGAGTTGTATTTTGACATTTAGTCTTGATTTATGTAACTTTTTTGTCAATTCTTTAATTTTTAAAAATTTACTATCTACATCCACAAGAAAAGTAAAATGAAATATCGTATCGTACTTATTTTGTATCTCCATTCTATGTCGGTATTTGCACTTGATCGAGTGATTTTCTGAACAAAATAAAGTGACCATGTCCTCTCATAGACGTTAAATGTTTCTCAAAAAAAAAAAAAAAAAAAAACACACACACACACATTCGTTTAACATACTTATATAGTAAAAAAGCTATAACGAATGAATGATGTCATGCTGTCATGCATATGAATCGAAATAAAAGCGTTGTGCCGGTTCGTGGGCCGCAAGAAATGACGTCGTCATACATTAATATATTATATAATTTATAGTTCAAAATTTATTAATATTACAATTTTTACATTTTTATTTTCAGGAAAAACCCACTAATGGTATCAAATCGATTTTTTTTAACTCCTGTAGCATATTAACTGTAGGTATACTAAAAATAATTTGCTATTGTGAATTCTTAAGCTAGCACAATAAACTTTATAACCGTGATCAGTACATTAATTATAGTTTAGTTATTGTTAAATTTGTTAAATACAGTAATTGTTTTTTTATGTTTTTAGTTTGTTAAGTTATTCTAAGTTATATAGGCTTTATCATTTTCGTCTAGTTTGTGTGAAAGAAGCTTTTCTCTATATGGTGCTTAAAATCTTGAACACTTACAATAATAGAAAATAGCGTCACTTTCTACACGAAAGTAACAGCTAACGAATTACATAGGTTAATACTTACAAATAATATAATAATATGTGAGTTTCTATACAGTAAAAAAATAGGCATGTTAATAGGTATGCTAAAAATAAAAAATGTAACATAAAATATTCTTTTTATTTTTTAAAAGATTTGTATCAGTTAACCAAATTTTAGTACTTAAAATATAATAATGTATATATTTTTTTTTATTATTATCAAATCTACTTATAAGAAAAGTATAATAGCTTTTTAAATTTTTAAGGCTACATTTTAATTTTAATTTTAATATTTTAAGATAATTGTATGAGTTTATAATGTTTGTATAAATTTGTATCTTATAACATTATATATATAATATATAATATGTAGAAACTTATATATTTTATTACTTATTTTTGCTGTGTAGGATTATTATATGTTTTTATTTTTTATATTGGAACTTATATTCGTCTAATATTACAGATTTTTCAAGATAGGTTAGGTTAGGTTATTAAAAATTTTTTCGATGAACTAAACTAGTAGTAATAAAATTTTTATAAAATAATTTTAAATAAATATGCGAAAAATAGTTATTTTAGTAATTAAATTTTCATTTATAATGTAATTTACAATAGTATTAATCTATATTAATTAAATAATTATCTATTTATTTATGATTTTAAATACATTGTTTTGAAAAATATTATTATTATTGATAAATATTTATGTTAAGTTTCATCTTATTTATGGAAATAAAAAATTTTTAACAAGAGTGGTAGTGGTTCTCTTATAGAATTATAGGCGGTAGTATGTGAGGGTCTACATTACAATCGGGTCTATTTTCTCTGCATATATTTATGATTATTTAGCATCGTAAAACTTTCGAAAATTTTCGCTAATGATTAAACTCGGAGCCACAGGTTAAAGACTATGATTATTATACTTACTCTTTTTTTAAAACATTTTTAAAGCGGTAGCCGTTTAAAATATAATATCTATTTAATACTATCTAATGACCCGAAAAAAAATCACGTGATTTATAACCTTATAAAATAAACTGACGAATTTATATTTGTTGTATATTATTATGTACGTATAGCGATATGTATACATTACACACAACCATAAACACGACCGTCAAGTGACGAAATCGAAGACTTTGAGAAACGCATATTTCAATTTAAACGGAGTACCTAATTCATTAGGATGATATACAGAATCCTGTGAATAATGATTGTCGACTAGTATTATATTATCACTGGCACATCATTATCCCACGTGACTGTCTTTCGACTGGAGCATCGCGTGTTATATTATATTGTTATGTATGAGTAGTAAATTATATGGGCGTGTATAAATGTATAAAATACACACACATACACATATATATATATACTCGTACATGTTGTTAAAGAGACCGCAATTTTTAACAACAAAATATAGTCGTTATCCATCATACTCTTATGAATGAGAGTGTATACTACATATATACAATATCACAGCGTATATAAGAAAACTTTCTTTGGTAAATAAGTTAAAATTTTAAATTATACAGAGTGTCTAGATGTTACATGTTTCCATGTTTACGACAATAATTTAAACCGTATTTTCGTTTTTCGTTTTCTCGATTCTTCGGAATTTACGATGGTTGATTTTTATAGAGCTAAATAATGTAAATAATTTAAAAGTAAAATTGTCCCGGTTTCCATTAAGTATTTGAATGAATAGTAATATCAGTTTTAAAGTTAAATCAAAAGGCGTTTAGAGGCAGAGTAATAAAAGAGTATTTATGTAGCGGTCGGACGATTATGTACGAAAAAAAATATAGTGAGCCACTCTGTATATATAAAATATACGTATCATATAATATAGGTGTCTGTTTTATAACAAAAAATTGTTTTTGTTTATTCTTATAAATTGCTTTTTTCCTAAGAAAATAGTATGCAGAAAATTAAATTAAAATTGTTTATATTATCAACCATAATAACTATACTTATCCCTCGTATCGTATCGTAACAATATTATTATTTATCGATTGCTGTACAAAACGTCCAGTTTGAATTGGGTTGTTACCTCAAAAATAATATAATTCATCATTTTATAATAGTCGTATTTCTTTTAAAACGTTCATAGGATAGGTAACGTCGGATTCAAGTCACGTCGGTTTACCTTCTATAAACGATTAAAGAGGTATTTTTTTGAACTAATTTTCACTATTTTATTTGAAAGAAAAATAATATTGAAAATTCCGCAATTTTTTTATACCAAACGAAAAAAACAGCTCACTATTGATAATGGAATTTTTTACCGATCGAATCGAAATCTAAAAATATGAGTACTCGTTGTGCTGTCTAGACAATTTTATTAGCATTTAATAATATTCATTGCAAACGAGAAATATCGACCAAATTTAATTCGATTATACAAAGAACGCGATGGAGTCGAAATTTTGTATTATATTATCACTATAACAAAATAATGTTCAGTAGGTAAATATAATGTCTATATTATAGTATAAATAAATATATAATATTATATACTTTTGATGCATTGTGTTATCATTCAAAGTGTTTGTTTATCACGGTAAAGGTACTGGTGAAAACTTTCAACCGAAAACCGTACTTATCACCCATAATGTATAAGGTATACCTATATTATATTAAATATAATTTGATATTATGTGTATGTAGGGGAAAAACAAAAATATTTTTCATAAACAACTTTTATATAGTCGTAAAGTTACTATTACATGTTATCATTTATAACTATATATTACAATCGTTTACAACAATAATACGCGGCCACTATAGTTTGTACATCGGTACTTCAAATATTATTTTAACGGGTGTATTAACATCAATAGAATTACAACAACACAGAACATTTTAAACGGACTACTGTTTATACTAATAACGCGGTGTATGTAATATGATCTTTCATGTATATTTATGTAATATGTTATCTCTAATGATCGAATAAAATAATATTTTAAATTTATTATAACGTGAAAGTGTAACATTTTATATAGGTGAATTATAAATTTATAACGATATGACCATGTTTTTTGTGTGTTTTATATGCATACGTTTATAGGTATAGAGGTACTCACTGAGACTGGCAATGTTCTTCAACGTGTTGAGCAAACCATTCATCACATCGCCCGTCTTCCAAATGTGTTTTGATAAGGAATATTTCGTTCGTCTCGATTTGCAGTCGCCCGGACGAGATGACGGCGATGACGGTTCAAACACCGGACGGTCTGAATGAAGAATGCAATTTACTATACGTTACATTATACGGCACTGATATGGTACGTGTTTCCTCCTGTTGTGCGTTAAAACATGCGCATTACGTTTTTATCGATCGGCGGCCAACCCCTCTTCTCCTGACGCCATCGCGGCGGTGGCAGAAGTCTACCCCCGCGTGCACACGTGCGGTGTGCTTCGCTCCGGCAACCCTTCCCGGGGGCGAAGGAGTATGATTATCTGCCCATTCTCCAACTCATTGACGTCCTATATATCGTACCGTTACGGACATTATATAATATATTATCAAACTATTATGACGAAAAACCGTATCGTTTATTTATCCGTTGTCGAGTTGAATGGATTGTACACGCAAATAAAAACGTGTGGAGACGTATGTGGAGTCGAGCTTAATACCGGTTTCGCGACTGCGTTTAAATTTTAATAGCGACACGTAAACCAAGGAGGGTTAATTAGACATACATAATAGTCGAAAATTAGTAGTTTATTGTTCTAAGTCCTAGGATGAGATGGTTCCGCAGTGGTGGACGAGATATCAGCGGAGATAAGTGGGAGTATTATTGTTTTAGGACCGATCATTCAATAACGACGATTTATCGTCATTTCGGATAAAAGATTTTAAATTGTTTTAAAGTCTAAATAGGTTAGATTCCGTCTTATTGATATAAAAAATAAAAAATTACAACAAAACAAGCATTCAGCTCGCGAAATGTAGCGTAATATTTTGTGTCGACGCTAGATTTTTATGTTCGTTTTTGGATTTAGACGAAGAACGAGCGATTTAGTCATAACATTAAGATGGTTATTGTTTGGTTTAATTATTTTTTACCTACAAAGTAGTTTACGAGTTTATATAATATATATAAGGATTATGATTTGACTGCGATCACGTTTGACGTAGAACCACCTTGAATTTATTCGTAATACAAATTTTTAGATATAATTAAACCACATAATTATAAAATATCTGATACATGTTTTATTATTTAAACATTCATCCAACATTTTATGACACAACGGTTATGATGTCGACTGATTCTTCTTATAAGCATGTAGCCATCGTTAATTTTTAAAATAGAATAATATTAGAGGGAAATTTAAATATATTAAAAATCGAGTGAAATACAATAAAAGAGTATAAGTCGTAAATCTTAATCTCTATTATCGTACTACAGATAATTATTTGTTACGATTCATTTATTATTATACTTGCTATAATAGCTTGTAAATAAAATTTACGTGGGTGCTTGAGATTTGATATACTTAATGAATATAAAATAAAAATATTTAATTAGTTTTATAGTGGGTTAGGTTAATTTTATTTGATGTTTTATCTGACAGTACGCGAATGCTTCATATTTAGTCTTTTATTTCAGATATAGTTGTATATAAAGTAGCTTCATATAGTCCATATAGTACAGAAAATCTCTAGTTCAGTGGTTCTCAATATTTTTATACTCACGGCGTATTTATTATAACTATACAGTTTAACGGAACTTTATAGTAATAAAATAATAAGAAGCAAGCAAATAAAGACATTTTTATTTTAATTATTAATATATTATATGATTAAAAATTAATGCCTAATAACACTATAGTATATAGGCATGTACCACGGTTGCGGCCACCTACATCTAGTTCGCGGCATACTTGTGTGTCGCGGAACACCGGTTGAGGAACACTGCTCTAGCTATTAGATTTATGACATCATGACATTCTAAATTTGAATTCAGTTTTTGGTATATTCTATATTATAATCTTGTCAATTGTAAGTTATTCGGAATTAAAACTCGTCTTATAGTTTGAAGAAGTGGATTTTTACAATAGTGGATTAAAAATTAAATAGCACTTAGAGAAACTAGGAAATTTAAGATGTTGTTATATTTTATATCAAAACATAAGTATATAATATATATTAGTACCATGGATATATTATTTTCTATAGACCGTTGTCAGTTATTCACAGATTTTTAAAAAAAAAAACCAATTTTCATTGTTTATTGTATACAACACACTATTGGTAGACGATTAGTATATAATATTATGCAATGAAAACCACTGTGTTATAGTCAGAAAGTCTGCATAGTATCAGATTAAAACTAGATCTGTAATATTGAAACATTTGGAACGTTAATTTTTTGCTAACAAAGATATATATTAACATATACATATTTATATCCTACTATAAAATAAAAATAATACTGGTGGTGTTGAAAAGTTGTTATACATAATATTACAGTATGTATGTATTTTACACGTATTAAAGTATATTCAATTTTAAAATGTAAATTTATCACATCATACAACCTAGGCCGTATGCAATGATCATTTCAACTTACAATGGTATAAATTATGAGTTTTATACGAAGTAAATACGTATAACACAGTATATAATCAATGATATTATAATATATAAAAATGTCTACTTACAGTAGTCTCAAAATAGATACGCATTAATTGGCTACGTGTGCGTAAATAATATGAAGTTTAAACGTAATTTAAATATTTCAAATAATTTATAATATTGATGTAGAGTAATACACGAAACCATAGAGTTTATTTTGTAATAATTACTATATATTTAACGCCCGTATCGATAAAACTCAACTACACCCACACCAGCTGTGTAAGTAAATACCTAGTCATACATTTTGCTCTTTTACGATATCATATTAATCTAAACGTTACATTTTGATAATATACACTAATATACTACTATTGTAGATTCAAAGAAAATTCCTATTTAAGTCGTGGTAATAATAAAAATATTAATTATGCCAGTTATAATTATTATTTATAAAAATGTATATAATTTTAATCTTATTTATGCTACTGTTTATGATTTAGGTGATTATTATAACGCGTATCTACAGTTGAATACATCGCTTATACGGTTCGTTTAGGATTAATGATTTTACTTTATTACTTGTTTGCTATTGGAGTGAGTTCAAATTAAAGTAATACAAATAACGAAACTCCATAATATTCAATTGCACACTTTATTATAAATTGTTCTGTAAAAAGTAAATTGTTTAAAATAATTTAGATTTGTTCCATACTACTTCAAAACGTAAGTATTCTGTTTAAATAAAAATAATTATTTATTTATTTTTGTTATATTTGTTTCAGATAATAATTTCGTTATGAAAACTATTTAAGTAATTCAGATGAAATGAAAAAAACCTAAAAATTATTTTAAATTAAACGTTTAATTTGTGTATTTTGTTAAAAAAAATAAAATAAAATAATCATAAATTCGTTTCATCACAGTAAATTATTTATTTTTCAAGTATTTTTTTTAATATTTGTTGATTTATACATTAGACTTTGAGGGTAACAAAGAAGTTATAGTTTCATTTAATAAATTAAAAAAAAGCAATTTTATTTGATGAGTATAGACTATAAAAATGTAATGCTAATTATTGTATTTAGTACAATTATCTATATATACATATATTGGATAAATATAGATATAATGAAACCAAGTTTATCTACGACAACGAAATCACCGGTAGGTATTAAATTAATTAATTTTTCAAATAAAAATAATTAAAAAAAATAAAATGTATTACGTTATTCAAAAAAAGGAATCTACATCAACGACATATATACAATTCATATTTCAACACTAATGTATATGTCTCATTTAATTTTTACTTTATGTTATCAGATACAAAAATGTGTTTTAATTAAATAAAAGTTATTATTTTTTTTTTACTTATTAATATCTATTTGAAAACTATTTTAAAATGGCGAAGGGTAAAGTCTAACATCGAAAATCGATTGAACAATTATCTGATACACGTTTCAAATAAATTACTAATGAACGGGAGTGCTGATATTTGTCTATAATTACTGCATGGTCATCCAGATAGTCTCCAAGCTTGAAAATAGTGTTAATTTGATTTAGTTTTTATTACAAAAGAGACCAATGGCAAAATGTTGTATAAGATGGTTACCCAAAAGCTCAAAACCTAACGTACAGAATTATTAAATTAATTATTTAGTGTCTTAAAAGTTCAAACTTAATATAGTGGGCAATTGACAATCGATAATTTCTTTTTTTTTGTAGAATAATACTATTTTTTATCTACTAATCTAAATGTTTTGGATTTAAAAAGGATCTGAGTATTGTAGAGTTTTCTGCATGAAGCTCTAACTAAAAATTGATAATATAACATGAGGGATACTAAATTAAATTATTAAACTCTTATGGAATTTGAACATTTTTAAAAACTACTGAAAAAGGTCAAAAAATAACTTTTTATTAAAATAATTGTTTTAAAGAATATATTACGATCAGATTTTATGCTAGATGTTTAAATGTATAATCAAGAAAATTGATTTAAATGTAAAAATATCAAACATTTTAATTTTAAATCATTAAAAATATTATGTTGTTAGAATATTTTATAATTTTATTAAATTAATTTAAAGTGAGATATTACACAGAATAATTTTAAATTAAGCTGTTATTGTACAATATGTATTGGAAATATTTAAAAATAGTTTCTTTTTTCTACTGAGTATGTTTTAAAATATTATTATACTATTTAATATGAAATTTCAGAACAGACATATTATATTAGGTATATATGTTTACATCTGAAGTGTATTAAATTAATAATTAATGTTTATATGTAGGACCTACGCATCTTTATTTAGTTGTGTAAATTTCATATTTAATAAAATAAAAAATAAACATCTTAAAATAAATTAAGAACAATAGTAGCTATGTGTTATAACTTATAATATTCTATGAAAATAAATACTTATTGATGATTTGCATCAGTTTATGGTTGACCTAACTAGTAATCTTAAGTAATAGGTACTCACTTATAGGTATAAAGTAATAAAAAAAATACAATTTTCTTATTAAATCATTATGAGAATAAGTTTAGTTTGTTAGATAGAATATAGATATATAATTATCATGAAGTTTATAATTAATTAATCGGTAGTAATAATTTTTTAAGAAATGTGATTTAGAAAGAATATTAGACGAGAATAGAGAAAGTCCTATCTTATTATATTCAACCATAGAACTACGCTATCGCATTTTAGTTCAATACCGATCGATGAAACGTTTGGACGTGCCATTAATTTCGGTAAGGTGTGTCTAATTTTGACCAATCGTTAAGTGGTCCTCCACCTATTAAAGTGTTTTCATTACAGAGTGTCCCCGCGAGTATCATATAATATTGATTTGATATCTTTTATATGGTGATTCACCCTAAATATCTTTAATATCTATTGTTATATTTCGATCACAATATTGTAACACATTATGCCAGAAAAGTGTCTCGAGCAGAAGACTTAACGTCTTGTTTACAATACACCGAGTTTAGGACTTATTTTAACATAGATTTATAGGTACTTGTTTTGCTATCTAAGTAATTAATTTAGTGTTGAGTGAATGGTGTTTATTTTTGTGGGGGTAAGAGGTCCGTGTGCATTAAACCTCTGCCGCAGATTCATATATATTAATATAGTATATAAACGATAAAAAAATTTTAATTAATTTTTTACCTTCGCCCTACGATTGTTATTTTTGTTTTAACTAGTCATGTAAATATGGTAGTATTGTAATAACTTAACGTTATAAATTATAAGTTATAACATAGAGTTTTTCTTAGAAAAATTTAGAGAATATAAAGTTATAACAAAAGTTTTAGTTAGTTTAGTTAGAAATCTGCCTCAAACCATTTTGAAATATAAATATTAAATATACATACATAATTAATTTTGTTAAAAATACCTGGCTTATGCATAACAAAGAATATTAAAATAGAGTTTAGAGCATGAATTTAAATAGTATTCATAAAAACCAAAGTGGTTAGTTTGAAGGTAATTTTTTCGAATTATTTAAAAGAATAAATTATGCAATCGTAGAATGAATATATTATATTTGATCGTTATGTTTATGAACCAAATATTGAATAAAACGTATTAACAATTTATATTTTGAATAATGATATGCGCGTGAAATAGTCAGACTAAAAAACAACTTTTAAATTATTTTGAATTTGTGTAATAAACGTTTAATAGGTATGTAAAATGTCAAAGAGTTAATAAATAAATTATTTTGAGTATTTTCGTTTGAACTAAAATGATGTGATTTTATGAAATAGAAAAAACAAAGCTGCGTGAAATTAAATTGAGATGAAATAGGTAGAAGTTGTGCACAATATGTACACACCCTAAGGGGTGTTACTCTATGTATGGTGTTTTTATGATATATATTATGTGACTCAAATGAAAATTAAATGTCATGTCGAAAAAATGATATTTAGAAGGAAAGACTTATTTTTGTACAAATTGTATCTATATTATATTTATAAAACCTTTCGTTTTAAAATGATTGAGATAAACTGTAATAATAATAATTTTTCATTTATCATTTAACCAGAAAAAATAACTAAACTAATATCGTTTTCCAGTAAAAAATAAATTTATTATTTGTTGTATATAATTGTGGCAGATAATATTATTGAACGATTTGTATTTCGGATGGGCGATGGATTTAAAAATATTAATAAATTATTTTGTCATCAGAGTTGAATAATGAACATGCATTCTGGATTCCTATAGGATTAAAAAAAAACAACCAAGAATGTAGTTAGGGGAATGGTTGAAAAATAATTTTTATTTTTTATTATCTTTTTTTTTTAGTTTCAATATGTTTATACTCTTAATTCAAATTTAATTAATTGCGGTAGGTTTTAATTAATTAATTAAAAAAAAAAAAAGAAACAGTTATAAATCCGATGCGCGTACATTTTTAGGAATAAATATAAAACCAAACGTATTATCTCTCGATTCGACATGTATCATTTTCAACAATTATGTTGTGCCAAAAAAGACTTATAAGCACACAAAATACATAAGTGTGTTTCGCCTTACTTTATGAAATCGTCGCAAATAGTGCAGTTTGCAGTTAGTAATAGCAGTGCGCCAAAGACCCAAACTGAAATGAAAACATTATTGTCTCCACGTTGTCATTTGCTGGTGAATCGATTGCAAACTGAGATTGATAGTTGCTTGAAAAAGCTTTCTAAACATTTAAACCACTATAGTGTTTTTATATTGTGTGAAACCACAATATCGCTATCTCCGTTACGGTACAACGACAATGGGTAGGAAGGGACCAAAGGAAGCCGAGGTTTAACTGAATATGTACTTAAATATACGATATGTATATAGTATATTGTATTTTATTATATGTGTGCGTGTGTGCGTATGTGTGTGTATATGACAGTAACAAACGTTTGGCTTTTATCCTACGGGCCTTTTACATCATTTTCCGAAATCGCCGTTGAAAATAATTTAGTAACTCACGTCAGTTTCATGGGATCGTAGGCGACGTGAACTTTTGGTATACTATAGTATTTATATATAATAATATTGCGTGAATAGTCTCTGTGAAACAATCTCTATTGATCGTATCATTATGATCTATTAAAATATTGATGTACTTAGGTGAAAGATCAATTGATAAAGTATAGTCATATTTTACTCAAATAATATTCAGCACCGAAGACACAGAACATTTTGAAAAGTCATGACAAAATATTAGAGGGCATTTTCGTCTGTTTTACCTAACAGTTGAGATTGAAGTATCATTGTCTATTTGCATATGTCTAGGCAAAAACATTATTCCTACCCTGATGGTATTAGTAGTGTTATTATGTTGTAACATAGGTAAATTATATTATTGATCCAGTGTTGGGTCGCTACTTACTTCGTTTCATGGAGTACGCGTGTAACAGCGCTGTGATCATGTTGCACTTTGCGTCCCGGCGCGCTATCAGAATGTCCCTTCTCTTCAGTGCCTTCACCAGCGCTTCACAGCACACATTCAACTGGTCCCTGAGCAGGTCGACCGTTGTAGACAACTCTTCCACGCCTAATAATAATCATAATAATTAACGTACAAAATATATGTAAAATACATATCGCCCTACGTATTCGAGTATTATACAGTTTATACTAGTTACACTAATGCCATGCATTGCTCGAGTTTACGTATATATAAGGACAGATTTAGTTTACAGAGGTAAGGGTAATTGGATTTTTGACTTTACCACTTACCCAAAGATAGATGATGATTTCAGAATCTTAGAGTGGCTTCATGAAATGTTTAAAATTATATAATAAATAGATAAATAATAATTTTCGTATATGATTTAATATGACACAAAAATGGAGCGATCACTTCTAATAAGTGCCCGGTGTATATATAATACCGATTATTACCACAAATATCAAGAAGCGCGAAATCAATATTAATTCAACTTGGTAAAATTTAATTTGCAGATGGCTGTGTACTTAAATTTAAAGGATATAATCTGTCCGAACGCTATCAAAAATGATAAACGTGCACAATCCATAAAATCTAATATTACTATTATTATTAATAATTATATGATATATGATATGAAAAGTAATTTGAGAACACATCTTACATAATATTATGTGCTTAACTAAATCAGCTTGTGTATAGTGTATACGGTATATGTTTGAGAAATCGTCAATGCCAACAATCGACGATTTAATGAATGTAATAATCTGCAGATCATATATTTTTTTCTAAAAATATTATTAGGTTTATTATTAACACTTTCTGTATGAGTAATGGTTATTTGCTGTATTAATTTATTGATTATCAAAAAAAAAATAATTCAGTAATATCTACGGTACTATAAATTGCTTTCTAAGCATGTTTTTTATTAAAAATATCTAGTTGTACTTCACACTAAAATTATAAAAATTATTTTCAATAAAAAAAAAATTAAAAAATAACGTTAAAAGTTCATTAACTACGTACAAAAAATAAATATAAATGTCATCGTGTAGTGTAGTGAATTCAATTAGCGCGTCCTACTTTTCTTTTCTTTTATTTTTTGTCTAAATTGTATCATTTATACTAGTGTATTTGTTTAGCGTAATTATGTATGGATTTAATTTCCCCGAAAACTGAATGAAAGTGATAGACTGATAAGTATCGCTGTTCTCGTGGAACGCAGATTTGATCGTTTGTAAACACAAATAAGTAAATCTCTGTTAATTACAAAAGCTTTGCCTTAAACAAATGGCCTGTAAATTTAACATGTTTGGAATGTTTTCTGTATAAATCAATCGTGTTTATGTATGAATATATTAATTAAATTATAATATAGGATGGTTTATACATCCGTAGGTTTCTCTTTCTCTCTCCTTTCTCTCTCTGTAATGCTATTTTGCTATTTACAGACTTAAACACGTGAGAGGAAACTGTTTTTGTGACTTTTTTTATATGTGAGCTTATAATATTTTGTATAGGATGGTACAACAGGACGCTTATATATAATAATAATAATAATAATCTTGTTATTGTCAATTGTGATGTATCTATTGTTTTACAAACTTACAGTACATACACAATATTCCTACACACGTAGCTTATTATATTATCTTATAATAATATACATATTATCATTTTTTATCTTTACAGCCTTAACGTATATGTAATGAAATAATGAATGACATTGTTCTAATAGATATGCAGTGATAAATGTATAGTATGGTTTAACAAAATATTTATTAAAAATGTAATAACACATTTTTGTATGCATTAGCAGTAAACATAGTGCAATTATTATATAAAAAAGTCGATGTTTAAATCACGCAATACAATTTGGGACAGTACATTTTTTATTTTAAAATTTATAATACAATATAATATTATCTTATCACAATATGAACGTTGAGTCGAAATTATTTAATAAACTATTGTGAAATAAGATAAACAATACAAATTATATTTTTGAAAAAAAAAAAAAATACAAAATTAAAAGTGTAAAACTGATGTACATGAAGTTGGTATCATTTTAGTGTAGTGACTTAATATTTTTCACCAATATTATGCAAGTTAATTGTGAAATTGAAAGTTTATTTTCAGAATCTGTAAGTTAGCCGTTTATGAGTTACAATAATAGGTGGACTAAATTCACTTGGTCTACCCATGTGGATTTAAAGTTTTAAGATATATACCAAAATATGTGTCTAGATTTAGCGAGAATTACCAAAATGTATATTTCAGATCTGTGATTGTAACAATGTAGATTATCAAATATCTAATAACAAGCATGTGCTTGGTTACAACTATAGATGTGGATTGAATTAGGGCTTGTAAATTTTGAAAATGGACTAGCAAATATTTGCAAATAAGACGATATAATTTGATATTAATTTAAAACTTATAGGATACATGGATAAGTAAAGTTTATGTAAATGGAAAATTGGCTTCTTTGAAACATAAATGGTTGGTTAATAATTTCAATCATGAAACATAATAAATATTTTCATCTTAATGGCAATAAGATCAACAATTTTAATAAACTTTTTTCATGGATAAATTTTTAATGTTTCTTATGAAATCTGACTAACCATAGTTAAAACTCAATCAATCAATAATTAATTTATTAATTAAATTTACAGTTGAAATTTTACGTTTCATTTGAAAAAAAAATATAATCTCATTTTATTTCATCGATTTTTTCATATTTTATATTTTCGCTCCTGTGACAAATATAATAAAATATACGCATCTTATTCCTATTTTCTTGATATGAATTTCAAACGTGACGCGTATAGTTAAGTGATTTCCATGGACGATGATGCAAAGTCACATGATGTTATAATGTATAACATTATTCTTGAGTGAATGTTTATTTGCGCACGAGTAGAAAATAATGAACGAAATATAATGACACAGAATAGCGAATAGAATATTTTACATTTATCTAGCTAGTAAATTAAATTCTAAAATATAATATATAAATAACGACTTACAAATATTAAATTAGTACTATCTATATAAATACGCACTTAATACAATTGTTATCAACTTAATAATCATGAGTTTTTTCAACAAACATTTTTTTCATCTTTTATATATTTGTACAAGACAATCCATTATTTTATTTAAATGAATTATATATTATCAATTTTGGCTCAAAGAATAATATTTATTTTATGTTAAATTGTTTATTTGACTTAGTATACAATGATGCATCATATGTCTATTGTATGAATTCAATAAAAGAAAAAATAGCTATATTTTTAACTATAAATTATTAATGTTAATTACTATAGTTTTTAACACTTGTTAGTAGTGTAAGTAACTCATTAGAATATTTTAAATAAATGATTTTAGAATTTAAGAATTTATATTTTTTTTCATTTTTCATTTCAAAGTTTCGTAGATACAGCTAAATTATTATACAATTATTAAGTGTTTATAGTATGTAGTATATGTACTTGTAGTGTGTAGTGTACACATTTTATAGCCAATATATTTTTCTGTTTATGATTAATGTAATATTTTTGTATTTAATATTTTTACTTATTTGGAGTGAACAACAAAGAAATCGAATTAGAAGGGGCTAGAATTTACAAATTTACTCTTTATTAATTAATTATTATAAAATGTGATAAACTGCATTAGCTTAGTTTTACTTTTTCTTGTTAGTCTTTTGGACCATCCGTTGTTTGCAGAGATCGTTGGCCTACCACCGCTATCACTCCAATTCATCTGGTCTGTCGAAGATTCAGAGGCAACGCTGCCCCCACCACCTACTCTGTATATGTCTTCTAATAGTTTGTCCATCAAGTCTGTGACCGAATATCGTTTCTGATTTAACAGTAGTTGTTGTTTAGCGTCACCGGATGGCAAGTTTGCTGTTATCATCTCAGCCGTCGTTGTCGTCGTCGTCGTCGTCGTCATCGTAGTTAACACCTGTACAAACTGACATAGCCTCTATTATTATTACTATTATTAGTATTATTATTTAATACATCTATTGAGTAGATACCGTAAAAACATACAAATATTATGTTTAATTTGAAATATGTTTGTTTAAAGTTCATGAATAGTAATATTAAATATTATTACATTTATTTCAATAAACTGTTCGAGCAGGTAATTATTATATTAATTTTTTAATGTGGTTTTATAATATAAAATGTTATATTATACTAACTTATACTGTTTAATAGTTTATAGTCTAAGACTATACAACTTATATAGAAATTTATCAACATTATATTCGGTATGGAATTATGAACGACGGTTATAATGACCAATTTCTAAAATATTTCACGTCTCATACAACGCTGTTTAATTTATGTTGTGCATGTACACAATTATTTAACCTAATTGAATAAATTCATATTAAAATCATCTTTTAACTTTATTTGTTAGCATAATATACTTTTTATTTAGTTAATGTTCATATCTGAGAATATATATTCACGTATTATATATTGTTTTATACGATTTTTTTAAATTACAGCTTATGTAATTACATTTTTATTAGAGAAATTTATCAAAACAATTTAAAATTACTAAAAATCTTCATAATATTTTAACTGTAACTAAAATAAACTAATGTAATTTGCTATTAGAAATTATGTAAATTGACTGTTAACTGGAAATATTCATCATTTGTATGATTATTCGGATTACGCCTATACATTCAATTGAAGAACTGGAATTTGTGATAAATTTAATTTTAAATAACAATAAATTAACTAATAGTAGACACAAACATGTATTATACCACTGTTTTAAGAATTAAGTTTGTTATCTGACTTATAAGTAATAAGTTATACAGTAATTAATTATTTGTTTAACTTATAAGTTATAATTTAATTAACCTAATTTTTTTCTTTGTTTATTGATAATGTATGAAAGACATTTTAAATTATCATACTAATAAAAAAAAAAATTATCTCATTAGTCTACAAAATTGATTTATATTGTCTGTGAATTCTGAATTTTTAACTTAACCAGGGTAAATGATAAAAACATGCCAAAACAAAATTAAGTTGTAGGTTGACTAATGTTTCTAAACAGCAGTGAAAAAACAAAGTAGAAATTTTTCAGTCTTGTTGTTTAGTGCTGATATTTTCGTGATTCAAAATGTTCTTGAAATTTAAAATTTAGTTTTACCTGAATTATCAAAATCTCCAAATTATTATGTAAAAAAAAAAATATTTTTGAAATGTTAATAGATTTATTATATGAGTGTTGTACAATAAAATAATCATCCAGTATATATGTTATCTGATAATCAGTTATTTTTATAAATAATTATCTTTATATTGTTTTTTGGCACATGTCTTACGAAAAAATTGTAAATAATTTTTTTCTAAGTGCACTACCTATCAGGTTATGAAAACAGTTCTAGACAATTATATGGCAGAAGAAATTACTTAACTTATAGAAGGTAGAAGAGAAAAAAATCTAGCGTTAAATCGCTAAGGGCTGTACATTTGTAAATACTTAAACCAGGTTAAAAAATAATAAAATTAATTAAAAATAATATTATATAAGTGTAAAAAAATAAAGGTATTTACAAAAAATTGAGTTTATTGATTAATTTAAAATAATAAAAATACATAAAAATAAGATCATATTTGCTATTAAAACTTATGGAAATTAACATTTTCTATTTTTAGTTTTTAAATAAATATTTTATAGTTAAAATTTAAATTATATGAATATGCATTTAAATATATTATCATACTATTTAATGAAACAAAAAAATTTCAGGTTAAAAATATATACATTATAATATATTATACCTATGTATGATTATTAAAATATTTGTATTTTCTTTCCTTTCAAATATTTAAGATACCTATAGAATATATAATTATTACTATTTTTCATATTGTCTAAGAGATATGTTTCCAGACGAGTTTAATTTACAAAATAAATATATGACAGGTTAAAGCAAGTGGCTAGAGGAAAACAGCTATAGTTATTATACTTGAATCATCTGTCAGGTCACAAGAATTGTATAATTATTTATCTTCATAAAAAATGAATTATATTATACTTATATACAAATTTATTAAAATATCCTTATGACTTTTATTGTTGATCAGTGATCCTATATTTTTATACTTAGATATTACAATAAGTACATTAATATTTAAAATATTTATTTCTCTCAATATATCACGGAAAAGAGAAAATTAAGTATAATTATGTAAAAATAGTCATCAATATAAAGGTTTTTAACCAGATTTTTGAGTAAAAACATAAATGAAATCCTAAATAGTTTTTGAATAATAGAAGGATAACTATAATATACACCTTTAGTGAGTTTGAAAGTTCTATAATTACCATGGTTAATTGTTAATTATTACCTATATATAAAATATAAACTTGTCTCTACATTAGCTATACACGATATTTAGCCACATCTTACACTAATTATTCATGAAATATATCCATAATTTACATTAGTTATACACAAAATATATAGGTAGTTGTATTTTACGGGATTTAAACAAAAAATAATTTAATAATTACGCTAAAACATACGTATTTTATAAGTTGCATAAATTTAGTACATCATGTTTAAAACGAAAAGATTATTTACGAAATAGCTACTTTTCAACAAATCATATTCTTAAAATGGTCTATTTAGTATTTTTCAACTAAAAGTCTATGAATATTAACGTTTATATCAGTGTATTAATTTGCGTATATTAAATGTTCATTGAATGTATAGTATTATTAACTAGGTTATATCGAGCTAGCACTAAGTAATATCATTTGGAAACTAGAACTTTGAGTAAAATAGAAACGACTAATGATGGAATTGTAAAACTTTCAAACATAGTATACTATCGCAATTTTAAAATACTTCAAATTTTACAAGCTCAAACATGCAGAGAGAATAAAACGAAGGAGTTACATACTCAATATGATAAATGACTAATGTCAAAGTTTTAAGTTGGTAAATTATACAAATTAGGAAAAAAATTGTGGTAGACAATTATTATTTTGACACAAAAATTTACTCAATTTTATAATATAATCCTTCAGTTTTTAATAGTAACGTGTTTAATGATAATCGAATATGGTAAAAATAATTTCAGATAGGAAACTGAAATGCAATATACTTAAAAAAAAAATTTTAAAAAAGGTGTGAATAAAAAAGACTTGATGAACCGAAATAATTATATTTCAACAAATTAGAGTAGATAACAATAGAAAACCAATCGTGTAAGTGGTGTTTTATTTTTATTTAAATCAGATTATACGTGAACATTTTTAAATAGGTCGTATTCATAAAAAAACTACAAACAAGTAAAATATCGTAAAATGTCGTTAGCTAGGAAAAAATCGATCTTTAAAAGAAAAAAAAAATGGAAATGTAACCGAATATTTACTCTTAAATTTTAAATTGAAACTAATTTCCTCAATAGGTTGCTGCTATATCACATTATTGAACGCATTCTTTTTATTGTTATTATAATATTATTACGTTAACAAGTTTTTGAAAAATGATCGTCAAGTTTAAGTACACAGTATACTATATCAATCAACTACGTTACGTTAATATATTTTGTTTGAATGTACCTACCGCTTTTTTTAAAATTTATTTAATATTATTATATTAATTTTATTACCACTGGCATTTGAAATTTGATGAAATGTTAGCATAATATATAATGATATTATCGTTTTCGGTTCTTCACAAATTTAATATTATTCGAATCGGTCTTTTTAGCAGCTTTTGTATATTATAATCTAAAACGTTAGTCGTTGAATATTCTAACCACAGTAATAATAAAACATTCTTTCTTCGTTTTATCACGCGTTATGCACAAATGCTACTTATAGTGGCTCATAAACAATATTATTGTTAACTTATACATTATATAATTCCAAATTAAACAATTATAAATAACCAAATTTAATACTAGAAGTATATTATTTTTAAGAATATATTTTTAATAAAACATTGAATTAGCATTCAATCTAATAATCAAACTGTGTTTAAAAAAAAAAAAAAGCTTTGAAACGTAAGATTATGAGCAATATATAATATAAGAGATATTTAGTTTTGCAACGTAATATTAAAAAAAGATTTAAAATAGGTACTTGAATATTTGTTTTGCAGTTTTTAAGGTTATAATATAATAACAATTAAAAATATTTTTTTTTTTTTTAGAGTCTATTTAGTTAAGGTTCGCGATAGATTGAATTTTATAAATTATATATAATATAGATATAGACTATAATAATATTTTAATTATAGAACATATTACTTAATATATATTTAAACGTATAATGTTGATTTTCAAACGTACTATGAACAATATTTATGATAGAAAAATGTACAATTACTAAATAAAATAGCATGTATTTAATAAATACCGCATTGATGTGCTGTTTAATGTTATATTTGAAATGTAACAAATTTTTTAAGATTATTAATGTATCATATTATACCTCTACATGATTATTAATTTACTATATATAACTTTATTATTTTAATATTAATAAATTTTATTAATTATTACTATAGAATATATACAAAACTATATAATGTATATTATCTAATATTTTTTATTAAAATGAGTCATATTTTACCAAGCCTGTATTTTTGTAAATACAAAACAATGCGTCCTTGTACAAAAACTATACTATAATATAAGAACATTACTGTACTCTACGTTTCATTCAAAAGCTTAGCAAAATACTTTATTACATCACTAGAAATTTAATTTAAAAGTAAAATAATTGGATTAAAAACATTTTAATTAAGTTAATAAATCTTTTTTTAAATAAATTATGTGTGATATGCTATAATTTAGTATTAGACACTTGTATTAATATATTTTTGAAATGTTATAATTTTTTGAATTTGGGTTTATCTTATTTTGTAGATAGGGCTGACGCTTATAATAATTATACTAAATATGACGTGTAGTAATTAATGG